GGGTGCCGCCCCCCCGCCAGACGCCTCGAAATGGCGACCGATCGCCTTCCCTCCTTCCTTGTCCCCGTCCTCGTCCTCCTCGGCCTCGCCCTCCCTCCTCCTCCGAATCTGGGCGTGTAATCTCGCGCTGGAGTGCGGGGGTATGCGCGGTCCGACGAGGCCTGGCGGTCCTGGACCAGTTGGATGAGCGTCTGTTGGGGAGGCCCCCTGAGGGCACGGCGGATTGGCGGCGGCTGCCGTTTGCGTCCGCGCCGCCGGCGTTCGGAGAATGCCGCAGGCGCAGATGCGACTGGCGCGCCGCCGGACTTTCTCAACAGTGCTGCGGCACGGACCCCGCGCAGGGATGTGGGCACAGGCCCATCGAGGTTCTGAGCGCTGCGCGTGCAACCGCCCCCCCCCCAAAAAAAATGAGGGCCCGTTTGGCCACGAAGGAACGGGTTTCGCTGTTATCGCTGTCCGTAAAATGGGGCCCGTTAGGCCAATGATTTCGGTGTTTCCGTCCTACAGCTCGCTGCGGTCGCTTACGTCCCTGGCTCGACGTCCGACCTGTGGCTGCCGTGGGCTCGGCGAGGACCTCCGACACCAGTCCTCGCTCGCCCCGGCACGCCCGACCCGACGTCCACCTGACGCCCCAGTGAACAGCCGACCGCCATTTTCCTCTGCAGACGTGCTGACCTCAGGCCCAAGGGGTCCGCCGGGGGGGTGCCCCCGGTTCTCCAGGTAAAATAGGGCCCGTTAGGCCATGCCGGAACGTGGTTCGCTATTATCGTTGTCTGTAAAATGGGGCCCTCTAGGCCAACTTATTCGGAGTTCCACTCATACAGCGCGCCGTGGTCACTCGCCCTCCCTGGCTTGAGCGGCCGCAGCCCGGCTTGCAGGCAGTGCCCCTCACTGGGGCCACCCCCTGCCCAGCCCCCGTCGTTCCGCCTCTCCGGGCGCGGACCCCAGGTGTGCTGACCGTGATGACTCGTGGGCCACAACGGGGCTGTGTTCCACCCGCCTCTCCTTCGTTTCACCCCTGGCGTGTCACTGCACTCCCACGGTGGCCGCCTGTCGTGCAGTCAGAGCTCCGGCCAGCCCCCACCGCTCCCCGTCCTTGGGGCTTGGGCTGTGGGGCTTCGCTGGCAATACCGACTCGTGGACTGCTGTTGGGGCCGCGGTCCACCTGTCCAAAACCGGCCTCCGGCTTGCTATAGTTGCGCTCACCCCTGGGGCGCGTCTCCCGCGCCACCGGGCGGCCCACCAGGTCGGGGGGCCCCCCCCCGCGGTGCCTGGCCTCGGCCCTCTCGCCGGGAGGCGGCTGTTCTCCCACCGCACCGGCCTCTGCCATGCCGCGCAACTCGCGGATCCTCCCCTGGCCTCGTCGTGTGGTGGTGCCGTCCCTCACCCGCTCCGACTCCCGGCCTTACCGCTCAAATTGCGGTTCCTCTTTCTGGACTAGCGGCCGTCCCGGCATCGCTTTGTCCAGCACTCGCTGGCACGTGCGGTTGGTTCCCTCGGCCCCGGTTTCTGCGTGCCCGAGGTGCCCTTCCGCTTGTCATCATTTTGTGTGTCAGCCTTGCGCGTGGTGCCCATTCGGGCCCGTGTTGGGTCAACCTGACACAATTTCACGCACTGGTACGTGGTGACCCGCGCCATTTTGGCTGCGTCGCGGCTATGCCGCTTCCCGCACGCGTGCGTACTGCTGCCTCGGGGTCCTTCAGTTTCCGCCACCCTGGGAGTTGCAGCCTGCCAATGCGCTCGCCTCCTGGCGTCAATTCTTTGGCCGACGGTACTTCGGACCACCCTGGTTCTCGCGCTCACGCCGACGTCCGGGGCCTCGCCTTTGCATTTCTTATTCCTACCTCGACTGGCGATTCGTTGGCCACGGCCACCCTGGTGCCCACGCAGTCGCTTGAGGTTCGGTATCATGCATTCTCTCTCGGAGTTGTCCCTGGCCGTCGTTTATATTCCGATGTTTGGCGCCTCCGACGGACTTGCATCTTTGCACGCTGGCAGTTCCACTCAGTTGCAGTCCCTCCAGCCATCCACCTGCCGTTGGGCCGCTGCGTGAGGTCTCGGCCGGCGTAGCTGTTGCCTTGCGCGTCGCCTCTGCCTAATTAGTCTCTGCGTAGCCCGCTTGGACCTGACCCGTTGCTGGCGCGCTCGCCCGCGGCCGCTGATTAAAAAGTATCCCCACCAGCCCGTCCAGAAATGAGTCCCAGGGGAGTGGAGGTGATGAGGGAAGCGGGGGAGCATGCAGAATAACAAAAGGCGGGGTAAGCCGCCATATACCCCAAGAGGGGAAGGATGTAGGAGGAGTCGTCGTCGTCGGAGTAGGAGGAGGAAGAGGAGCAGGAGGAGGAGCAGAAGGAGGAGGGGGAGGAGGAGGAGGAGGAGGAGGAGGAGGAGGAATATGAGGAGGAGGAGATGGAGGAGGGCGAGGACGTGGAGGACGAGAAGGAGGAGAAGGAGAAGGAGGAGGAGGAGGAGGAGGAGGAGGAGGAGGAGAGGGAGGGGGAAGAGGGAGGAGGAAGAAAAAGTGGAGGAGGAGGAGGAGGAGGAGGAGGGCAATGGCGAGTTTGGGGGCCTCTTGGGCCGTCTTTGGGGCTTCTTGGCGGTCCCGGGGGCCTCTTGCGTATCTCGGAGAGCCTCTTGGGGCCTCTTCGGGGTCTCTTGGGAGCCTCTTGGGGCGCTCTTGGGGCGTTTTGGGGAGCTTTCGGGGCGCTCTTGGGGCCATGTTGGAGGAAATCTATCAAAGAAGGGGGGGGTGAAATTAGCGCTGCCCCTCTAGAGTGCCTCGAATCGATTCTTGGGCCCCAAAAGAGGCCAAAATCCTTCCACAACCTGGAGAAATTAATGTTTGTGTGCTTTCTCGCTTTTTCGCTCTTGGAGCCGTCTTGGGCCATCTTGGACGCCCCAACGACCCGCGGAACCCCCCGTCCAGGTCCAGGGGAGGGGGTAGGGGGAGGGGTAATCGATCGTAATATCAAGTGAGTTTGGGCTTGCAGAGCTCCGAGAATAGTTCTGGGTCCGGAGTGCCCCGTGAATGAGAGATTTCTTTGTGCCTTGATCGAGTTGTCGTCACAGTTCTGATCCATCCCATGTCGATTTACGTTACTTTGCGCGCACGTCACTGTGCGCCGGTGGAGATAGCTGCATCGTAGCACGCAGTAATGTTCTCCATTGGCTATTATTTCTCTTGCTCTCCCAGCCTTGTCACCCGCGGAAAGGGGAGTCGCCCAGAAGTGCCGAAGCGTTTTTGAGGGGCGCACCCTGGGCCCGCTAAAGGCCGGTAGACTCCCCTGAATACCCTGCGTGGCGGGGCTGGCCTCCTTCTCTTCTTCCTTGCCGATACGACCTCGTCTGGAGGTGCGGGTGATACGACGGCGTTGCGAGTGGACCTCGCACCTCCGTTCCCGGACCCCACCTTTGTCTCCCGCGGGCCCGAGGCCAGCATGGAGCAGGCGGGATTCGGGATGGGGCGCGCGCGTGTGTGAGGTCCGCTCATATCACACGACGTCGGTTTGGGGGGGTGAGAGGTGCGAGGGGGGGAAGCCGCTCCCCTTGAAGCTGGATGTTGGGCACGCAGGGACGGAGAATACCCCCGCCATCCGGCGGATCGACTTCCGTCTGCGAGCGCCAGAGAGACCGGTCCCAGGGAATGGGTCGGAACCTCAGAAAGTCGACGTTGTGACAAAAAATCGCGGCGTCAGGGGTTTGGGACCACCACCACCACCAGCACCACCACCACCATCACCACCACCACCACCACCACCACCACCAGGGGGACCACCTCCAGCGAGGCGGTCCACGATGCCTCCCGAGTTGGGGACGCAGGGGATGTCTCGAGCGAGAGGGGGGCGCCGCACCACCAGAGGAGGACGCTCACAGGCGCCTCGCGCTGGTGGTGGTGGTGGTGGTGACGCCGCCCTTCCTTGTCCCTGCCCGAGGCAGAGGAAGAGGAGGGTCGGCATGAAGCAAGCGGGTTCCCGATGGAGCGTGCCTCATGTTTTGCTCCGCCATTTTCGGGTTCGCGTGGCTCTCGGAGGATGAGGACGAGGGAGGAGGACGAGGACGACGACGAGGAGGATGGATCCAGCGGGCCCCGGGACTGTCAAGAAAGTGTTCAGGACGAACATCGGGTCTGAGGGGATGCCGCCAGGCCCAGGCGCCGTTCCCTTCAGGACCCGCCCATCTCCTGCGAAACTGAGCATCGATGCTTGGGGCCTTGTGGGGGGGTCCTGAGGCCTCCGGAGACTTCAGGGGACCTCCAGAGAGTCTTCCCCAGAAACAGATTCCGCTTTTTTATTTTTTAGCCTTTTCAAATCTGGGCGTTTTGAAAATGTCACGACGTGCGTTTTGGCTCGGTTTCGGGGGGTCATGAATCGACCCAGCTCGAGAAATCTTTTTCTGGAAAATATGGTCCGGAGCTCCGAACGTGAGCACGTATTTTGGGAGCTCGGGGTCTTCTTCGCTGTGGAAAGGAAGCGCACCTCTTCCCCCACTTGGTCCCCCTCTCCACTGGGGCTGGGCCGCAGAGTTTTGAAACCCGATTACGAGGATGCTCCGCAAAAGCGGCACAGAGAGTATGCCCCCATACCTTCTGGGGAGGGGGGCCTGGTGTCAGGCAGTGGCGAGGCGTCCTGGCTTTCCTATGGGCCCACTAAAGTCTAAGAACCGCTTGTGGTTAGCACATTTATGGCTGAGACCGTCTTGGTTTTATACATCGGCTTTCTGTTCTAAGGCAGGTGTTTTGTATTAGATTTGGTTGGCCTTCTAGGAACACGTCGTGGTAGGCCTGAAGGACTGCTGGGACGGCCGGTCCCTGCTCAATGGTGGGGTAGGGGCGTTTCTTTGCTCACCCGTTCTCCTCTCCTCCCCACGCGCAAGGCGCACACAGGTGGGAGCGACGTGACGGGGGTCCACACCCTGGAGATTCTGCTGGCTTGCGCCACTCCACCGACCCCCCAGCCCCCCTTCCTGTCCCCGCCCCTCTCCGTACGCTCCTTTCTCCCCTCCTCTCCCCCTCTCCTCTCCTCCTCTCCTCTCCCTCCTCTCCTCTCCTCTCTCCTCCCCTCTCCTCTCCCACCCCTCTCCCTCCTCTCCCCTCCCCTCCTCTCCTCCCTCTTTCTCCTCTCCTCCCTGGACAGCAGCCCTGTGGACAGACGTTGAGATGGCCTCGCCTCGCCGCGCCGTCGGCTGCTGGCGCCCCTCCTCCTCCCGTCCTTCTTCCCTCCCCTCCTCCCATCTTCCTGGAGATGGGGGCGCGGGACCCAGACCCCCTCGGGTAATGAAAAATCATGACGTGGGGTTATATTTTCTGCCTCTGGAGGCCCTTACCAGCCCTCGGGACCGTCGAAAAACGACTCAGGACGAGAAACCGGTCCAGGGGAATCGGTCGAGACCTTCGGGGTCGACGTAATGAAAAAATCATGACGTCGGGGGTCTGGATGCCGGGCACGCAGGGATGGGCAACACCCCCGCCATCCGACGGATCGATTTCTGCCGTCCGCGAGCCCCAGAGGTCTCGACCCCTTCGCCTGGGGGGGGGTCTGCCGCCAAAGATCCATCCGCTGGCGGCCCACACGATGCCCAGACTCGAGGAGACGGCACAATTGAAGCAGAGGCAGTCCGCCCGAGGTCTGGGCTGGGATGTCAGAGGCGACGATAGTAGGGCGAATAGCCCATGGGGCGGGCATTACGGTGGATTCTGTATGAACGTTCGATTCCCATCGCGCGCCCAGTCACCCCCGGGTGGGCCCCCCGGGGGTCGGCGCAGCCTGGCCATCCGCATCATGCCCAGCACGGCGGCGTCCGGGGCGCAGGCCACGGCGACCCACCGGAGCGTCTGCCGGGACGCGTGCTCCAAGGATCAGAGGAGGAGGAGGAGCAGGAGGAGGACGAGGAGGAGGAAGAGGAGGAGGAGGGGGAGGAGGAGGGGGAGGAGGAGGAGGAGGAGTAGGAGGAGGTGGAGGAGAACCCCCCCATCCTCCCTTCTCCCCCGTCCTACTTCTGGTAATTAGTGGCGGTGGAAAATGGACCCATCGAGAGAGGATGAACATGTACTCGTGCCGCTACCCTTGCCTCGTTTTCGCCTCTTCGGGCTTCCTGAGAGGCCCTCGTCGCCACGGCTAGATTCACATCGAAATTCGGGTCAGAGCGCACTCCAGGAGAGGTCCAGAGAGTAGCGGTACCGGTACTTCCCGATTTCCCCAGAGGAGGCGACCATGAGGTGGCAGGAGGGCGTGAGGCAGCACCGCGCCCAGAGGTGCCCCCGATGTGTGTCTGTCTCTCCTCATCGATCATCGAGGAACTGGAGATATTCAGAGGAGCAAGAGGTCAAGGCCTCCTAGATAGGGTCCGAGTAAATGGGGCCGGAGGATCGCGCCGCATGGCCGATGCATCGCCGATGCGGCTCGATGTGGAGCCCGATTGCTTCACGTCGACGTCGCCGATGCATCGCCCACGTCGAAGATGCATCGCCGGTGCATCGCCGATGCATCGCCGATATGTCGGCGATGCGGCGAGATCCCCCGACCCCATCTACTCCGACCCCATTTAGGAGGCCTCTAAAGAGGTCAGGGTAATGATGCGTTCCAGGATTTCTGAGTTTTCCCGGATGTCCCTCATTTCTTAATATTCCGCACAAGGTGCAACAACGAGGGCCGCCAAAGACTCTGGAAGTCCTGGAACGCATCCGGAGCCAACCTTATCAGTAAGTCGGGCAAATAGTCAAACATAGTCTAGGGACGATGTTTGTTAAGTATGTTTGATTGTTGTTGAGTTGTTGTTTGACTAGTTTCGATTAGTCGTCCTAAATGCGCATGTGGGAGGACAGGCCCGACCTAAGCTTATCATGGTATCGCTCTCGTCCTAGAGGCATTCGCCATACCTGTCGCAGGCCCGCGCGCATGGCTTGGGTCGGCGTGGGGCAGCACCGCGCCCAGAGGTGCCCCCGACTTGGAGCCGGCTGGGGGTCTGAGGTGGCCCAGCACTGGTCCTGGCCAGCAGGAAGGAGGAAGCAAGAAGGTTCTGGGTTCGGGAAGGTTTCTTGCCTTTTTCGGTCTTCTGGGACCTGGGACAGTCAAAAACGATTCTGATGTGAAAACTGCACCAGATGGACCCCAGGAGGGGTCCTGGGACCGATTTTGAATGGATCTGGCACCATCCCCCCTCTTGACCAGCTGTCCCGGGGTCCAGCCAGCTCTGTTCCCCTGGCTGCCTCCAACCCCTTTGTCTGTCTGTGTTGCTCGAGACACAGAAAGTGAAGGTTTTCGCATGGCCTGCCGCAGGCCCGCGCGCATGTCTTGGGTCGGCCCTGCAGCCCCCCTGGCGGCGCCTCTGGCGCTTCCGCTGGCGCGCCCCGAACGGTTCCTGTGTTTTTGTTGTGCGAGGAGGACGAGAGGATGAGCATGATCCGCATCTCCTTAGAATGGGGCCTTGATGAAGTGATTGCACGAGTGAGCAGGTAGATGGCGGGATAGGCAGGAAGGAACAGCAGCGTTAGTGTAGTGCGGTGGGCGGGTGTCGTCACTTTGGCCCAAAACAAGAAGAAGAAGAAGAAGAAGCAGGATCCGAGGCTGTTCGGTGGAGATGCATGTTCGGGCCGCCATGGGGCCCACATATATTCGCATCCACCACCCTGTGGGGTCCCTATGGCATCGGTTCAACTTGCGGTGGGTAAAGGATCTGTGACTCCCCATGTCGAAGATGACGAGATGGCGGCGAAAGAGGAAGCGGAGGAGGAGGGGAAGGGGAGGAGACGAGGTGGCGGAGGAGGACGCGGAGGGGAAGGAGGCAGGCTGGGAGGGGGCGAAGGGGAAAACTAGGGTGTTTTCACGACTAGGAAAAGCTGAAACACGACAAGAGAAAATTGAAACACGACAAGGTACAGCTCACTCACGACAAGCAACTTTCGCCACCCACTTTCGCCACCCACTTTGTGGGTGGCGAACGAAAGTGGGTGGCGAACGAAAGTGGGTGGCGAACGAACCTGAAGGAGGAGGAGCGCACGGCGCCGCCGTGATCGCGTCGTTTTCGTCGGCGTCGGAGGTTTCCTCTTCCAAGGCCCCGGCGTGCAAAACCCGGCGCCGCAGGCCCCGCTCGCAGTTGAGCGCCTTGGCACTGCCCGATCTGAAGGCTTGCAGCCCATGCCGCCACAAAGGGGGGTGGCGACGGGGCCTCCCCATCCTCATCCTCCTCTCATCCCACTGTTCCTTCTGAGTCTCCTATCCCTGGTCTTCCTCGTCCTCGTCATTTCTCCTTCCAGCAACAGCCTGCGTGGACAGTGAACAAGGGAGGGGCGTGACAACGGCGTCGATCGTTCCCCAAACAGTGCTTGCGCGGAGGGATTCTTAGTTCTGGCATCGGGAACTGGACCTGTCTGGCGGTCGTGGTCGCCATCCCCACCCCGTCGCCGCCCGTCGACTGGGACTGTCTGATGGTCTGGCGGCTCTGCGGTCGCCGTTGGCACCCCGTCGCCACCTTGTCGCCCGCCCGTCGATTGCCCCATACGGCGAAGGCCAATTAGTCCACACCACGTAGATGAGCACGTATGTTCCTGCCACATAGATTGCACCACATGTTTACGCCACGTGGCTCACACCCCCACGTTGCGCCACATAGATTGCACCACACAGCTTGCACCACATACACTGCAAGGAAATACTTGTTTGGGGTCAACAGTTGGTAATATTTCACGCCCAGTGGCACGCCACTGGGGGCCGGCGGATCCCCCGCCAGTGCCGGCGCGCACGGCGCGGCACCGCAGGTCGCGCTCACGGCCGAGCATTTTGTCCTTGCCCGATCGGAAGGCTTGCGGCCCATGCCGCCGAGCGCATGTTTCTGCCCGATGAACGGGGCCTGGGAGAGATTTTCGCGGGGGGAGATGGGGGGTTCTTGGTTGGGTTTTTCGCCAGGGTGAAGTGTAGCGGCGCCCCGATGGGGGCCCGCGGATTCCCCTCCAGCCGCAACGTTGCGCACGCGCAAAGCGAGCGGAGGCGCCACGACGGCCGAGTTTCGCTTGCGCCGCAAGGGCGAGGCGGCTGCGAAGGCACTCATGACGGCCGAGGGCACTCCTGGGGCTCTCAGCAACAGGAGCCGCCAGGCAAAGTTGCGCGTAGTGGAGCGGTGCTCTCCGTGCATGCTCGCGAACACTTGTGGGGAATTTGTGAAAACGGGGTTTCTCGAGCGCGCCGAGGGCGCAGCGCCGCGCAGCCCGCCGATGGCGCCGCGATGCCCGCCGCGCGCGAACCCCGCCCAGGGCGCCGCCCTGGCAATGAGAAGGCTGGCGCCAAACCCGCCGTTTTTCTCGCGGGGCCACTTGCGAACGCATCTGCAAATCCAGGAAAATATTCTTGACGATTCGCGTATCCCCACCAGCCCATCCAGAAACGATGCCCAGGCGAATTGAGCTGACCAGGGAGGGGAGGGAGCACACAGAGTAACAAAGGGCCGGGGAAACCGCCTTGCCCCAAGAGGGGGAGGATAGATGAGGAATCGGAGGAGGAGGACGGGGAGAAAGAGGAGGAGGAATAGGAGGAGGATACGAGCGAGCAAAGTGGCCAGAGGCCTCTTGGATGCCTTTCGGCGTTTCTCTGGATGTCTCTTGGGAGTTTTTTGGACGCCTCTTGGGACGTATCGGGGGCCTCATGGCGGTCCTGGAGGCCTCTTGGAGCGTCTTGGGGGCCTCTTGGGGCCGCTTGGAAATCTCTCGGGGGTTTCTTGGGCGCCTCTCGGGGCCCCCTGGGCGCCTCTCGGGGCCCTCTTTGGGCGCTATTGTGCGACATGGGGGCGCTTTTGGAGCCATCTTGGAGGAGAGCGATCAAAAAATGGAACAGCCTCAATTAGCGCTGCCCCTCTAGAGCGCCAAAAATCGCCTCTTGGACCCCTCTTGGAGCGCTCTTGGGCGGCCTGTCTCGGGGCCCCCCCGGGCCTCTCTTCGGGCCCTTCTCGGGTCACATCGGGGCCATCTCGAGGCTTCGAATGGCCAGCATAAGCGAAAAGGCGCGAAAACAAAACACATTGATGTCCCATTCGTTTTTGAAAGATTTGGGCCCCCTGGGGGCCTCCGCGCAAGGCTTCACGGCCACTTGGAGTCGTCTTGGGGCGATCTTGGGCCCTCCTGGAGCATCTTGGGAGCCATCTTGAGCCGTTTTGGCCCATTTTGAACCATCCTAGAGGTCATCTCGGGCGCTCTGAGGCCCTCTGGGAGCCAGCTTGGGCAATATTGGGCGCTCCAATCGGTCGCGAAACGCCCCGCCCAGGCGCGGAAGAGGAAACGCGTTCAACCACCTGCGCCGACAGGGCTGGTGGGATTACCTCGCGGGCCTCCGCACCACTCGAAGATTGGTTTCATGCGCCTGAAGCGCCCGCAGGGCCAGAGGAGCAAAACAGGTCTGCCGAGCGTCGCCGAGCTTACTTGTGAGTACAGGGCGCTTGGCGCTGCCCGCAGCGAGCGCCGAGCCTGGCTTCGAGCGCGGCAGCTGCGCACGCACCCAGACAAAAACATTGCCGCGGAAGCGGTGCCGCTCTCCAGCTGCATCCGGCAGGCACCGCCGCCGCGCCGCGAGCCCGCGCGATCGGGGCCCGGCGGTTCCCGTTTTAGGGCGATGAAACCAACGCCTCGTTTGAGACATCCTCAGAATTTGGCTTGCGAGCAGAGAAGCCCAAGGCACCAAACAAGCAAACCACCCGAGACATCCCACGATCTGAGCGCGAACGGGCCGCGCAACCATCCCTGGTGGCCCCCCGTCGGGGTCTTAAGCCCGCGCTTTTCGAGACATCCTCGTCATCTGCGAGTCTGGGCGCGAGTGAACCTGAACGCGTGCGAGTGCGAGCGTGGATGAGCCTGCGCGCGAGTGAGCCTGTCCATGAATGGTAACCACTTTGACCGTCTTGAAGCTGTCCTCTCCACTGCTCGTGCAAACACCCCGCCCTCCCACCCGCAACTTGGTTTGCAAAATCTCTTAAGACCGCGACGGCGGGTACCACGTGGCACTTGGCAACAACAGCGACGCCGACGACGACAGCGACGACGACGATGACGACGCCGCCGACAATGACTACGACGACACCGACGACGTCTCCAACGACTTCGACGACGCCGACAACGACGACGACGACGACGCCGACGACGACGACGACGACACCGACGCCGACGACGACGATGAAAACGACGACGACGATGACGACGACGACGACGACGATAACGACGACACCGACGACGACGGCGACGTCAACGACGCCGACGACGACGACGGCGGCGAC